GTCATCTTTTAAAAAAAAAAGAATGACCATGATCATTTATCAAGAAAAACAGAGCTGACTGAAAAGTCCCAGTGTTGCTTGTCAGTTGAGTGTGAAAGTTCTCTCTGCTCTCCCCAGAATAGGACAAATAGCAACAAGAAACCCATGGGAACAAGTCAAGATCCCACTGGGGGATCATAACTGTCCAGCTGTTTGAACAACTCCTGCAGGATAGAGAGAGAGGAAAGAGACCAATACTAGTTTAGTGTCTGTAGCTCTCAGCTTATAGTTCCTCACTAAAAAGCCACAGCAATTCTGAGAGATGGGTATGATTAGTCCCATTTTATTATTTATTTATTTATTTATTTATTTATTTATTTTTAAAGATGACTGGTAAGGGGATCTTAACCCTTGACTTGGTGTTGTCAGCACCACGCTCTCTGAAGTGAGCTAACCGGCCATCCCTATATAGGGATCTGAATCCTTGGCCTTGGTGTTATCAGCAACACACTCTCCCGAGTGAGCCATGGGCCAGCCCTTGATTATTCCCTTTTTTTTAAAGATGACCGGTAAGGGGATCTCAACCCTTGGCTTGGTGTTGTCAGCACCACGCTCAGCCAATGAGCGAACCAGCCATCCCTATATAGGGATCCGAACCCATGGCCTTGGTGTTATCAGCACCGCACTCTACCGAGTGAGCCACGGGCCGGCCCTGATTATTCCCATTTTAAAGAGGAGAAAATAGAGAGGCAGAGAGGTTAAGTCATTTGCTTAAAGCTGAACAGCTAAAACTTCTTTCCTGGGCTCTACTTCCCTTGAGCATAAAATCCAGCATCAAGTTGAACCATATTGGAACCTGAGATAAAAGGAAAAATATGCACCCCTATATGCATTTATCCAAACATCCTTCTGTGTTTTGAACCAAATGGAAAAGGTGGATAAAAGTACTACAATCAAAAATCACGACCACATACAAAGCCCCATGTTGCCTAATCTGTTCGAACATGATTGTCCACCCTCATGAAACCACTTGTCAAGGCATGAAGTGGCAGTCTACCCGGGAACCATGGGCTGACTGCAGATGACTGCTCCCACGGCAAAATAATGCAGGGTCATAAAACAAACAACAGCTTGTCTTATTTTAAATTTTGATATTTTGTTCATCATAGATTTTTTGGTATTGATTTTGATTTAAAACAATTGTTTTTTGGTGGCCGGTGATACAAGGATCCAATGCTTTTTAAAATATAGCATTAAGATATTATTTGTCTTGATTACTGAATTTTTGGTGCCCTCTTAAATTTTATGCCTGAGGAGAGTTCCTTACTCCCCTCACCTCAATCTGGACCCTGGGTAAAACCAAGTCTTGGCCTGAATTATACATGAATTACTTGGCCTATTAACCAGAGTCTACCCTCCATAAACAGGGCCCTATTGGGGGTGGTTATTACCTCCAGCACCATTCTGTGGGTCCCAGATACCCCCATTCCTGGCGAGGCTTTGTATGGCCTACACAACTGTGAAAGTTCCCCATGTTCTTGTCAGAAATATTGAATTCACAAAGCTGTAACAACAGGAATGGTTCCACTGTATGGTAAGCACATGGTCACATGCCTGCAAAAATGTTTGCAGACACCAGATATTCTCCACCCAGCCTTAGTTACCTATGACCCAGAAGCCACAAGTTCCCAATTCCTACTTTGGTATGCTCATCTGAGCTCATGGCATCAGAATTCCTAGGTTTTCCAAGCACTGATATGTCAAGAGTTTGACTTTCCTATTGCTTGGAATGGGCAAGAGGGAGTCCCTGGCTCACAAGCTCAGCCTTCTGTTTTAGGGGCCTGCACGCTCCACTCCTTAGCCCAGCAGTTGGCTGAAAGGCTTTGCAGCAATACTTTCCATTGGAGATGAACAATACTGATTCGTTTGTGCTTTTCAACATTTCCCCAGGGCTTCAGGAAAAGCGATGAGAAACCACTGTTAAAACCCTTTTAGCTACAGCACAGCACTTGCTCATGCTATTTTTGTGCAGGACAGAAGAATTGGAGACCATGGGATGAGGGAGAACAGCTTCCCAACAATGCTTCACCTTGCAAAAAGGAACACACAAATCCCAGTGTGCTAGCTTTTCTCCTTCCCCCTTAGAACTGATAGAAGAGAAATCAAACTTAAATGAATACAAGGTCAGCTTTGAAGTGAAGAAAAAGTCAGGGAGACCTAACTGCCTATACCCAGGGTCTGAGCCCTTCCTGACCATTTCCAAACAAGTGCACACATAACCCCTCATCTTCTAAGAAAGAAAATAAGAACTTATCAAGAGCTTACTGGACACCCAGCATCCACTCTTGCCCCCTCCAACCCAAGCTCCAAGTTGCAGCCTGAGTGACCTTCTAAAAGCGCAAAATTGTCATGAGGATGAAATGAGCTAATATTTGTAAAGTGCTGACTGACATTACTAGCACATATCAAGTGCTATAGAATGCCTTTTAAGTAAACACACATAATACTATTCCCCCTTTAAACCCCTCACAGAATCAAGTGCAACCTTTTTCATGGCCTGCCTCTGCCTTCTGTTTCCCTCCACGCTCTCCCTTAACACCTCACTCCAGGCCTCATTTAATTCCTCCAGAGTCAAGCTATCTCCTGGCCCTAGCACATGCCCTTCCCTCTTACATGCTCTTCCCAGACCTGCTCCTCCATTCAACCAACTTCAACTCCTTCTTCAGATCCCAGCTTAAATGTCACTTCTTCAGCCCTCCAGGACCTCCCAGAGGAACTTAGATTCCTCCATTTTACCCTCTTACAGCCATAACATTAATCACAACCGTAATCACATACTAAAAGTTTTACATTGTTTAAAGTTTGCCTCAGGGGCCAGCCCATGGCTCACTTGGGAGAGTGTGGTGCTGGTAACAAGGCCATGGGTTCGGATCCCTATATAGGGATGGCTGGTTAGCTCACTTGGGAGAGCGTGGTGCTGACAACACCAAATCAAGGGTTAAGATTCCCTTACCGGAAAAAAAATAAAAATAAAAAGATTCCCTTACTGGTCATCTTATTAAAATAAATAAATAAATAAATAAATTGTAGAGCGCAAACAAGAAGACTTTGGCTGGAATGAAAGTATCCCCGAGGAAATAGATATGAGCTGGGTGTGAAGGTTGGTTGGGTTTGGGCAGACAACTGTGGCTCAGAGGGCAGTGCGTGGTGGGCACAGCCAGAGCATGAACGAGGTACACCTGTGGTCACTCCCCTTATTCTCTCTCCCTCTACCACTGGCCCACGCCTCAGACTTGGTTCTGCTGTCTTAAAGAACTTCCCTAACTGCACCCTCCCTTCATGTCTCCAAGTCCTCTCCCCTTTCCATTGCTCCTCCAGTGGGAAGAAGGAAGGAGCTGCCACCTACTAAACCGTACCTCATTGATTCCGTGCCAACCGGCTGTCTCAGGGGAACATGGTGGGAAATCCCACCATCCACCTAGCTTTCTGTGGGATGCATACCGGAATTGCAAGATAAAAGATTAGAAACCTGCGGTTGTGTTTCTACTTTTCAGATACAAACATTTCAGTGAGTAAAAAGCAGCGATGTTTTTTTATTCATATTCTTTTATTAGGTAATGTACCCCCTCAGTTATAAGTTTTTTCGTGTAATTCAGTAAAAGGGGTGCCATTTTTTAATTAAATTTGTTATTCTGAGATAATTTTAGGTTCACATGCAGTTTTAAGAAACGCTACAGAGAGATCCCACATACCCTTTACCCAGTTTCCCCTTATGATAACATCTCAAAATTTAAGTGTAATATCGTAACCAAGATATTGACATTGACACAGTAAAGGTCCAGAATGTTTCCATCACCACAGAATTCCTCACGGTGCCCTTTTATAGTCACCAACCTGCCACCACCCCTTAACCTGGGGTAATTATAATAAATAAAAATAAATAAAGTTTGCCTCCCTTTTTTATTTTTTATGCCACAAAAGTTGGATTTTATTTATATAACTTCTTACGACGTAGATTTTATACACGTGGCAAGCTGAAAATTCGAACTGTTTTTCCACAAAGCAACTGATAAATCACCACATCCTTACTAGACTGTAAACTCCCCGAGGGTAACGTCTACAGGTTCCCCCCTGTTCACTGCCTGTCATAGGTCCCCAATGAACCTTGTGGAATGAATACAAACTTTTTAACACCGTCTCGTTTAGGTAACTGGCCCAAAGTCGCACAGCTGTTCCAAGATTCGAACCCACGGCATCCTGGCTTAGAAGCCCAAGATCTGACCGCAGCACTGACTGCCTCCTCTTCTCTCTCAAAGCTGGAGCCAGAACACAGGTGGCTGGGAGGTGAGTTTTAGGAGCTGCACAGCTTAAGGATCTGCAGAGGGCCAAGCGCTGCAAGGAACTCGGCGTCGTGCGCTGGGACCCAGGGGAAGGGGCATCCGTCACGTGCACCCTGCAGGGCCAGCCGCCGCCGCACCCAGGGGCAGGAATGCGGCCCCGCCCGGCTCCCGCGCCAGCAAAACCGCGCTGGCCCTGGGGACTGACGTCAATGAACGGGCGCCTCCTGGCGCGGCGCGAGGGCGGCCGGGGCGGAGGGAAGGAACCCCGGCGGACACGCCCCCTGCCGCTGCTACGCCGCTGATTGGACCCAGGGAATGCTCGCCCTCGGTTTTCTAGGCCGGCGGAGAGAAGGGGCGGGGCGGGACACGCCCCCTCCCCTCTCCCACCGCTGATTGGCCCGCGGACTCTCCGCGTAATAACTTCGTATAGCATACATTATACGAAGTTATACGAGGCCCATGGTTCACTTGGGAAAGTGTGGTTCTGATAACTCCAAGGCCACGGGTTCGGATCCCATATAGGGATGGCCGGTTAGCTCACTGGGTGAGCGTGGTGCTGACATCACCAAGTCAAGGGTTGAAGGGGCGGGGCGGGACACGCCCCCTCCCCTCTCCCACCGCTGATTGGCCCGCGGACTCTCCGCGTTCGGTTTTGGAAGGCTCTCGCCGGAGCTCGCGGCAAGGCTCGGACAGAGGATTGGCTGTGCCGCCGCTCGGGAGCGCTTTCTCTGGGGAACCTTGGCTGTGACCGAGGTGGCCCGGGCTGGCTCGGGGCTGCGTGCGGCCGGCCTCGGGCAACCAGGTACGTAGGTCGGCGGCCCGGCTTGGCGTTGCGGTGGGAGCCGGCGGGCGACAGTCAGAGCTGGGGTGTAGCCGGACGCGAACCCCCAGATATACTTAGGGGCCTGTCGCTCTGCGAAGCGGCCACGTCTGAGCTCCGGGGGCTTACCTGTGCTGGGGATGTAACCGTGTGACCTCGGCTAGGATACCCTCTCCCAACTCTTGTCTTGCCCGTGAACGTCGCCCAGTCCTTGTGGGCACCTTAACGGCAGGAAGCTCAGAGCTGTCCCCACCCTTTAAAAGGGCTTGGAAAGGGTTGGGGTGGGCTCCTCTTAGCTTGCCTCTGTCCGGATTTGAGATCTGTCGGAGCTGCCTCTCAGCGTGGTAAGTTCTAACTCCTCACGGGGCGGTGGAGTGCAGAGGGCAGAGAGGCTGGCGCGGGAGGCCTGACTTTGGATCCCTGAGCCTTCCGAAATCCGCAGAAGTAGATACCAGGTTCCTAGAGGTTTCAGAGGCTTCCGGGACCTTCTTTTCCCTGAAGCCCCATCAGCCATGCGGCAGGAACAAAAAATAACTGTGGTTGAGAGCGTGGGCACTGAGGTCAGACTACCTGGGTTCATATCCCAGCTTCTAGCACCTAACAGCTGTGTGACTTCGGGAAAATTATTTAACTTTTCTGAACTCAGCTTGTTCATCTGTAAAATGGGTGTAAAGATAGTGCCTCCTCATAGGTGTGTGGTGACAGTGCCACCTCATGTGAAGACTGAAGAGAGCACCTGTCTGAAAGTGCTCTATTGTGCACTTGACGTGGAGCAAGCTGCCTCTATGATTTTACTCATAAGGTCGTGATTTAAAAGTACACAGATGAATCCATCTCCCTTTACCTTCTTCTCCCAAGAGTGAAGGCCCCTTTTGGTGGAGTTTGCTGATGGAGAGGATGATGAAAATGACAGTTATTTTATAGTCCCTGCTAGTTAAAGAGCCTTTCCCTTAGATCATTTATTCATTCAGCCAATATATATGGAATGTCTGTTGTATGCCAGGCACTAGGATGAATGCCACATGCTTTATCTCCCTTATCCCACTGAGGGTTATTTAATCTCACCATTTGAATTATGAGCAAACTGAGGCACGGGAAAACTGAGATTTGTCCAAGGTCACACAGTTATCAGTGGCACAGACAAAATTCAGGGTTCCTGAGTTCTTGAACAGAGTTATTCTTAGACCTAGTAGCAGTTTATTTCTGGGTCATATCTGAGAATTGGTTTGGGGAAGGGCCCAGTTCCTATCTCCACCTCCTGGGGCATAGATTTGGAGGCTGACATGTGTCCAGTTCACATGGCTGAGGGTAGGCCCTGCGGGGTGGGGAAGACCTATAAGGCCATTTGGACTGGGCTTCCACTTGAGGAGCCACAGATTGTGGCTGCTGTCCAGTGGCATATCTGTGTAGGGTAGCAGGCCAGGCCCACAAGTATTGATTTGGGCCTTGGGCCAAAGCCTCCAGTTATTTTTCTGAGGCCTTTGGCCTCTGATTATAGAGACTATTGCCATTACCATGGTTATTCAAAGAAGGCAAGTTGAGTGAGGAACCAGGAGTTGCCCAGCTCGCCCATGTGTGTCCTGCCTCTCATTATCTGCTCTTCCCTGAGACCACAGTGAGATACTCGCCCAGAAGAGCTGTCTGAACTGAACTTCATATATTGCAAAGAATGCTCAATTGTGCACCATATTTATATATCACAAATTCATTGCATGGTGAGTCACTTTTTAAATATATTTCTTTGTTTGAGCTCTACAGTTTTTCAGTTATTGACTGCTTCAAAACAAGTTGAACTTTGTCATTTTCAACATTTGCTATTCACCTTGGGGCTTCATTTTTAACCTAGTTTCTGTCAAATTGAAGTATTTTATCATTAGTCTTTACTCTTTTGTGCACAGAGCCATACTTATCTTCTTTTATGTCAGCCCTGAAATGAAAGATCCGTTTGTAATCTTTTAATGTGGATTCATTTTCCAGTTTTAAAAAGTACCATTGTTCAAATATACACTGACTTTCCTGGATTAAGGTCTTGTCCAGGAGATTAGGGGGAAAATAACTCTTGAAAACACTGAAATGAGGCAGGAAAAGTTTCTTCTGATAATAAAAGTGTTCTGATTCACCACTTCATCAGTTTTCCCAAAGTTTACCATCTAATCCTACCCTGAATCCACCTATTTTTATTCTCAGCCTCACTCTGCTGGATCCCAGGGTGGGAAGCAGAGCCAAGAGTGAATGGCCTCAAAATCTGAAGGTGCCAACTCCTCCCCAAGGTTCACGGGGAGTGGGATTGAGGCTGGAGGCTCAGACTCTCCCACATGGTTTCTTGTTGGTATGTTAGTAACTTGACTGGCTGTAGGCTGTCTAGTCAAGGCCTTGTAGCCCTTGCGAGGTTGCTGGGAATACCTGGGAAGTCAGGCTCAAACCATTTCCTCTTCAGAGCAGCTGCTGCTACTTGATCTTTGTTGCCATCCTTTCCATGGGGAGGTGAGATTGTCTGGGTCTGGTAAGGGACATCACCCCTCCTCTTACTGCCCCAGACCAGCCTTGAGTCTGTCCCAGGCTTGGCCATAGCCAGCCGAGGTCACTAGGGTGCCTTAGAGCAGTGAGTTCACTGTCTTCTCCCAGATCCTAATCCCACAGCCCACTGCAACAAAACAGTGTCTGGCCTCCAGGGGAGATTGAGGAGGGAGGAAAAGGGGAGCTACCAGTTGGAGGAGTTTCCTGGTATCTAATTACCCAGACCTGTCTACACATGTTGCTCCTAGGCCCTGGCAGAGAAGCAGCCCCGTCCCTCCTTCCATACAGACCTACCCCTGTCGACTCTCAACACCAGTGCAGGCCCTCAGAGACCATTAGCACCAACCTGTTCTTACAGCAGAAAGAGGGAAACAAGCCCAGAGAGGAAATGTGGGTTGTCTGAAGCCTCTCAGCTGGTGAGTGGCAGAATTGGGGCTTGAACCCAGTCCTCTGATTCAAAAGCCAGTGCACGGGGTTGTAGTTCTACCTTTCTTTTGCAGAAGCTGGGGATCTTTCTCATCAGAGTGCTAGGGATTCAAGGCTGGGGTAGCTGTCACCCAGAAAACAATCCTGGCGCTAGTAAATAGACTAAAATAAATTCCACAATCAACCTGTCTCCACCCTGTGGGACAGTTCGTTTTCCTTACCTTTTTATTGGCAGGTTTCCCCCTTTATCAGTCGGGTAGGAATAGTGAAGCACTCCTCATAGAAGTGTGAAGAAATGTGCGTTGAGCTGCTTGGCTTGAAGGCAGCTCTGGTTGAAAGGCATGGGCTGCAGTCACACAGAACAGGTTCTAGCCTCGACTGAGCCACAGGGCCTCATACCTGTGCCTCAGCTTCTCTTCGCTCCTCTGTGAAATGGGATGAGGATAACAGTGCCTAATTCCTGGAACTGTTTTGAGAATTAAATCATACATATGGCCTGATACAGAATAAACACCCCATAGCTTTTATTTCTCTTTTTCAGCCTAAAATGTTACTTGGTAACTGTTGTCTTCTGATCACAGTAGGTCTATTAGCATCCAGCTCTGGGGCCTTGCTTACCACATATTTGGTTTTAACTGGATTCTCATAATAGTGCCTAAGGAATTTTAAAATTTCCATTTTCCAGGGCTGGCCCATGGCTCACTTGGGAGAGTGCGGTGCTGATAGCACCAAGGCCACGGGATCGGATCCCTAAAAGGAATGGCCGGTTAGCTCACTTGGGAGAGCATGGTGCTGACAACACCAAGTCAAGGGTTAAGATCCCCTTACCAGTCATTTTTTTTTAAATTTTTCCATTTTCCAAATAAAAAGTACAATTTTTATGAAGTTAATTTATCTGGAAGTCTTCCGTGGGTTTATTTTAATTGTTAAATCTTTTGAAAAGAGAGTAGTTATTTTATGAAATAAGGCCCAGAAACTGGGACAGGGTGAATGTGGAAATTACTGGAATAATGAGGATGGCTACTGAGGTGAGGAGGAGGGAAGGCTGTGGCAAGGGAGGGAGTCATTATTTTGGGAATCCAAATGGGGTGGAGAGATGACTCAAACTCTCCAGAGAACAAAAGGCAGACTAGGGTAAGGATTACTTCTGCTATTGGGTTGAGGATAGGAAACTGGATATGCTTTTATTTAGAGGATCCTGTATTGTTGACCTTTTTTACAATGAGTGTGTAAATATTTTTATTTAAATATGTTTTAACTTTCCATTTCCCCCTTTTGAAGCTGGTTGACAGCTGTTTCTGTAGCTAGCTGTGGAATGAGGTGACTCAGGCTGCCAGGCCTTGGGGGAGAAGCACAACCTGTTCCTCCCCTCCCCCATTAGGCCTGGGGCTGGGAGGGAAGAGCAGGAAGCACAGGCCTGTCCTCAGCTGGCTCTGGCCATCCTGCTTGGAGGAAAAGGAAGGTCTGTATGAGTTACAAAGGTCAAGGAGGGCTAAAAGAGGGGTATTTGCATTTGTTTAGCTCTTATTGGGTGCCTGATACTACACTAGGTTCCTTCAATCCTCGCTACAGTCCTGAGAAGTGGTTATTATTATTATTCCCATTTTACAGTTGAGGAAACAGGCTCAGAGAGGTTGGGTAACTTGCCTAAGGTCACACAGCAAGAAAGGTGGCAGAGCTGGGATATAAATCTAGTTCTTTGTAATGCCAAAGTACTTGGTCTTCCCTTATCTCCAGGCTGGTTTCCAATCCCATAGCTTTCTCAGGCTGAAGTGGAGACAAGGATGAGGTGGGTAAGCACCTTATCCCTTTTTATTTGAAGTGAAATATCTAGAATCAAGGGAAATAATTTAATTTTCATTTCCTGGATATGAAGGGAGACACTGCCACAAAAGCCTAACTTCTATTGAGCTTTCTTATAAATTTCAGCCTCTGCCCTTGATAGTATATTCTAACTCTTGAAACCTCCGCTTTTGCCTTCATCCCCTCTCTGTAGATCCTTTGGACTGTGGTTAGGTCTGACTGATGATCTATTTCATACTGTGTTTGCTAACATGGATTTGGTTCATCCCCAAGGTCTTGAAAATAGGAGGTGGGATGACTTTTCAATTTTATAAATTGAAAAGCAGAATAGTAGAACACTGAGCATGGTTCCAAATGCTTTGTCTTCACTCTTTCTTTACATCAACTCTACAAAGTAGTTACTGGTACCAGCTGACAACTTTACACAGGAAGCAGCTGAGGCCCCAAGGGCCTCCCAACCAGTAGGTGGTGGAGGTGGATAGAAGTGGGAGTCCAAGTTGGGTAGCCCAACTCCCCAGGTCCTCCCTTACCTCTGTGCTACATACACAGTGTGGGCCTGAGCATCAGAGATATCTGGATTCTAATCCCAATTGCGTAACCATGCATGGCTTTTTTTTTTTTTTTTGGCAGCTGGCTAGTTCAGGGATCAAACCCTGGGCCTTGGTATTATCAGCACCACACTCTAACCAACTGTGCTAACCAGCCAGCCTTATTGTGGGTGTTTTCTTGTGTCAATTAATATTCTTCAAAAATATATATTTTATGGCTCTATGACAATATATGTTCATGAGATTTTTAATAAAGGCACCCATGTAGTATGGGTGCAAAGAGTAATTCAGCTTGATTTGATCCATTTCTGAGAACAAGAGCCGTGGTCTAATTAAAAGGAAAGAAGAAAAATGGTTAACTTGGAGGGGTGATATTGATTTTTGCTACATGGGAGAAGGAATAAAGTCTTTGCATAATTTGGTTTCCTTGGGAGGATCTGGGTTCTTAAACTTTCTATTCCTCAGATTCCTCATCTGTGAAATGAGGTTAAAAGTTCCTACCTCATAGGGCTGTTGTGCTTATTACATTTCGTTGATGATGGAAACAGAGCTCTCATGGTGGTGCCGGATACATGTTAAGTGCTCAGATTTGAGCTGCTGTGGGCATCCTGTGTGTGCGTGGACTTCAGAGCCAGACAGACCCTGGGTTCTACTTCTGGCTCTGCACTTACACCTGGCTTTGTGACTACAGGAAGCCATTTAGCCTCTCTGATTTGCACTTTTTCACCCATATAATTGGGATAAACAATAATTCTTACATCACAGGTTGAGATAATACAGGTGTCTGACACATAGGCACTTAAAGTTTGGCTGTCAGTATTAAATTTCCCCAAGGTGCCCTAGGAAATTAGAGTGATTTTAAGGCACACCAGTTTGTCTTCTGGAGAATGGAAACACCAGAAGCCCGTGCATTAGTCAGGACCCAAGGTTTGAGTGGCTGATGTATCCATGCCTTACATCCCACAGCATCCACAATGGGCACCCCAGCCTCTGTGGTGAGCGAGCCACCCCCCTGGCAGGCCCCAACTGAGGCCCGGGCACGCAAGCAGGCCTCAGCCAACATCTTCCAGGATGCCGAACTGCCACAGATTCAGGGCCTGTTCCAGCGCAGTGGGGACCAGCTGGCTGAGGAACGGGCACAGATCATCTGGGAGTGTGCAGGGGACCACCGTGTGGCGGAGGCCCTGAGAAGGCTGCGCAGGAAGAGGCCCCCAAGGCAGAAACCCCTGGGCCACTCGCTACACCACTGCAGCCGGCTCCGGTAGGTTCCTGGGACTGGAGGGCTGCAGGAAGGATAGCACTTCTGACGCCCGTTCCACCATTTCCTGGCTGCATGACCTGGTGCTAGTTACTTGTCCTCATCATAAAGTGCCTACCATAGGGGTTGTTGTAAGATCTACACAGTGCCACCACTTGGTTGGCACTTAAAACATTGCTATTACTGCTGGAGTCATTTATGACCCTGTGAACTCCCACAGGAAGTTGTGCCTGAGTTATAGCAGCACCACCTCAATTTGCAGTGATTCCCAGACAGGTAGGAGGGGGGATTGTTTGGGGGAAAAAAAATTCTGTTTACCTGTTATAGAACAGGTAACATTCAAAAGTAAGCCTGGTTAAAATCTTGGCTGTGGGATCATAGAGAATATAGCATAGGAATGTGCTGTCGAGGCATCCTGGGTTAAAACTGTTGAGAAACTTTACCTTATGATAGCATTTCTCCCCAGTCTCCCTAGTGACCCACCTCTGCCTAGGTCACTGCCAGCCCAGGTACAGGGAGTCCCATGGGACTGAGCTGAACCACGTGGCCTAAACAAGTCATGATGTGTTACACTCTGGGGCCCACAATTAGAACATAAGACCTGAACAGGCTTCTGAGGTCATGGGGTCTTGAGCTGGCAAGTCAGCTTCATTGCTTGTATGAACTCCAATTGATTAGTAGCCACTGCTTAAAACACTGGTTTCATATCATGACTGATTAACAACATCTTCCATGAGTACAGGGTGAAGAACATGGAGGAATGGTAAGTGTTGCACACCCTCATCTAGTCCCACCCTCCTTACAACAGAGATATCTGACAGCTTTACCTAGTCACACAGTTTTCAGGGGACACAGACAAGACCAGAGCCCTGGTCTCATTTTGCCCCGAACAATGCATTTTATAGTCCACTGTGACCAAAATCTCTTTAAATGCCCATTCTGTCCTCCCTATTGATGTCGGCTTATCACACACTTTTCCCTGCAGACTCCCGGAGCCCCACTCTCCACTGGCAGACCCAGAGAGTAGTGCCACAGAGACAGCCTCCAGCGAGCAGTATCTGAGCTCTAGGAGGACAAGTGCCAGGATCCGCCGGAACTGGAGGAAGCCAGACCCCACGGGCTACCTCCACCAGATCAGACACTGACACAGAAAAGGGGCCAGGAATGGCAGTACCTTCCCCAGGAATCATAGGGACTTTTGCCAGAGGGTCTGGGGAGGCCAAGGGAGACTTGAGGCAGGCAGCCCTTCCTGGGTAAGTGAAAGGAAGAGACCACTACTGCTGCCCTGCTCAATTGAGAACAGGACTGGAGGCTTCCACTGGGCTCTGTGTTACATGGGGCCCACTCCTCACCATAAGGAGAGAATAAGGAGAAACAGCAGCTGTTCCTGCCTCAGCCCTTCCCACTCTAACACTACACCTGGACTGCATAATGTTCCCCTGGGAGTCAATGATGGGCACTGAGACACAGCATCTCGCCACTTCTGCTACTATCTGCCTATTGCTACTGTAAACCCATGGTCCAGCAGCCTGTCCCACCCCCCTACACCATAAGGCCAGCACAAGAAAACTGTGGTTTAAGTGGCAAATAAAAACATTTGCATCAAGAACTGTGTGAGTCTGTCACAGAAGGGAAGGATCCTGAAACGCAGACTCTGGAACCAAAGGGAGAGTGGCAGGGGTGTCCCCAGGAAGGAATCAGGGCTGGCCTCCTCTGCCTTTTCATCCCCATCCCCTGCAGCCCCTGTGCCACAGCCTCCTTTTCCAGAGGATGTTGGATGGGGAGAAGAGATGGGAGTGTCTGCAGGCAGTCCTGATTGTGGGGATCCCATGGGCACCCGACAGGAGACACTCCCTAGCAATATGGCGCCCTTCCAGGTTCTTCTCCGCTGTAAGCGATCCCGCTGGCGCCAAAAGATCCCACCGGCGCCAGAATCCAACCTGTCACAAATCGGGACACACACCCCCATCCAATCCCGTCCAATCAGCTACTGCCCCGTCCACTTCCTACCCAGTCCTGGAAGGCGGCTCTCTAAAAATAGACGCGCAGTCTTTAAGTAAGCGGAACTTCTCTGGTGAACCGTCAGACCGGGTCTCACTGCCTTTCTTTCATTTGGTGCCGAAACCCGGGAGGAGTTCGCCCCTCTCTTACCTCAGGGGACTCCTTCCTCGGACTCCTCTCCTCTCCGTCTCCTGGGGCTGACGGTCCGCCCTCGTCCATTTTCTCCGGCGCTGGCTCCCTTTCACTCACCACCGGCTCATCTGTAGGTAAGCCCCCTCCCACTAGGAGAGCGCCGGCCTCTCTCAGGCTACTGCAGGGTGTCTAGCCGTGACTGTCCAGTAGCCCCTGACACCTGATTAAGGTTGGAAACTGCACCCCACCCCGGTCTTCATGACCACGGTGGATTCCTAGGTGCTCTCCGTTACTAGGGTCAAGTCCCACCTCCGTTCAGGCAGCCATCTGAAACGGTCCCAGCGCCCCTAGGAAAGGGAGAACACACCCTGCCTAAGCTTTCTCCACAATATGCCATGAGACTTACAAACCAGAGCTAAAACTAGATTCTAGTCTCGCCCCCTTCACCTGGAGGTTAAGTTCCCATCCTACTTTCTTTCTCTTCTGCTCTCCCTTCTTCCTGCCTACCGCTCTTGTACTTCCTTCTTCTGGGTCCAGGACCCCCGCCGACAAAGCCTAGCACTAGGTTCCTTCGGCTCCGGGCCGTTGCCCGAGAAGGTAAGGTCTGGGTGACGACCCACCCCTTCCTTCTCTCCCGGTTCATTCACGAACCTCCGGAGACTGGTGCAGCTCATTGGGGACGCCCTCTGGGTCTCACCTTTCTTCTCCAGCCGAAGGACTCACCCCTGATTCTCCTCTGGTTCCTCTCCTCTAATGGTTCCTCTCCTCTAAAACTCTCTTCCAGAACTACAACCCCTTTCCTACTAACTCTTATTATGGAGGATGCTCAAAACGCACACCCTTCTCTGCTTCATCCTGTAAACCCCGTTATATGGGATACCACTAACCCCTCTTCTGCCCATTGGAGTCCCATAACAATAAAACTAAAAGATCCTTCTAAATATATAAACCAACCACAGTACCCTCTTAGTACTACTGCTCTTCATGGACTTTTACCTTAATTAAAGACCTCCTTAAAAAGGGATATCTCCGCCACACCCAATCACCATTCAACACCCCCATACTGGCAGTAAAAAAACCAAACGGATCTTACCGGTTAGTCCAGGACCTCCGCCTGGTCGATAACCGCCGTTATTCCCATCCATCCTTTAGTGCCCAACCCCTACACTCTTTTATCCCAAGTTCTGGCTTCCACCACCCACTTTTCAGTCCCGGACCTAAAGGATGCCTTCTTTTCCATTCCCCTAAACCCCAATTCCCAAGACATATTCGCCTTCACCTGGACCAATCCCAACACACGACACTCCGAACAGCTCACTTGGACTGTTTTACCCCAGGGATTCCGGGATAGCCCACACCTTTTCAGTCAAGCACTAGCTCAGGACCTCAAACATTTCCACTCATCTCACCCTCACTCAGTCCTCCTACAGTATGTGGATGACCTTTTACTCTGCAGTCCCTCTTGGGAACAATCACAAGCTGACACAGCCTCACTTCTCAATTTTTTAGCGGACAAAGGTTACCGTGTTTCCCCTTCCAAGGCCCAAACATCACACACCACTGTCACCTATTTGGGATTTCAGTTATCTCCCACAAAAAAGGCAATTACCCTTGACAGAAAACGATTACTAACTTCTTTACCTGTACCAAAAAACAAAATGGAGATTTTATCTTTCCTGGGCTTAGCTGGGTACTTTAGAGCCTGGATTCCCAATTTTTCCTTAATAGCCCGCCCACTGTTCAATTTAGCCAAGGGGGACCCAAACAAGCCCCTGTCCTCCTCCCCAAACACTGCATTTCAAAAACCCCGCCAAGCTCTGGTTCGCGCCCCCGCTCTACATCTTCCTGACCTCAACAAACCCTTTCTCCTCTATATTCATGAGAGAGACGGACAAGCCTTGGGGGTCTTAGGACAAACATGTGGCCCCTCCTTTGCCCCGGTGGCATATTTATCTAGACAACTTGATCCCACCGTACACAGCTGGGCCCCCTGCCTCCGAGTCCTGGTGGCCGGACACACATTACAAAAGGAAGCATATAAATTAACATTCGGGGCATCCCTAACTATACTCTCGCCACACCATCTAAAGGATCTTCTCACCTACCAGGCTTTACATTGCCTTCCTCCATCCAGGCTCCTGGCCTTGCTCTCCTCCTTCTTAGAAGACCCATCTCTTTCTTTCCTTCCTTGCTCACCCCTGAATCCAGCCACTCTCCTCCCAATATCCTCTCCCCCTGACACGCCGGTTCATAACTGCATAGAGGCCCTCCAAAACTTCATCCCCTGTTATTCCTCCATTTCCGAGGGCCCCCTTCCCCACACTAATTACACTTGGTTCACTGATGGATCCTCATTTAGACAGGGCGGCGAACATTATGCTGGGTACGCTGTAGTGTCCCTCCACTCAGTCATAGAGGCCCAACCATTCCCACCTGGCACTAGTAACCAACAGGCCGAACTCATTGCTGCCACTCGAGCTTGCATACTTGCAGAAGGNAGTCTCACTCACCACGACATTTACATGCTCCTAGCTAACACTCTCCTTCCTGAAGAGCGCCGCCGCATCTGGGACGTGGCCCAAGCTCATGCAGCCACCGTACAGACCCCGCCTTCCCGACAGGCCCCCATGCAGTTCCCGAACAGGATCCACATTGGGACTACAACAAAACTCAGGGGGTGCAGGCTCGAGATCGCTTTACCTCCTGTCTCATGGCCGGTCTTAAAAAGGCTGCCCACAAAGTGGTCAATTTTCAAAGGGTCCAAGATATAATTCAGAAAAAGGATGAAACTCCCTCTGAATTCCTACACAGATTGACTCAGGCCCTTCAACAGTATACTAATCTAGACCCCTCTTCTGAAGATGGCCGTCATGTCCTTATGACATATTTTCTGGCCCAATCCTACCCCGACATTAAGGCTGAACTAAAAAAATTAGAACAAGGCCCCGCCACTCCACAGACTGAAATTTTATCGATGGCCTTCAAGGTATTCCATAATAGGGAGGAAGAAAAGGAGCGGTGAAAGCAGAGGGCCAATCAGGCCAACTTTCAAATGCTGGCTCAGATAATTAAACCACCCTCTGCATGTTCTCCTGGGCCCAAACCTCTCCCTGGGGCTTGCTTCAAGTGTGGAAGAAAGGGTCACTGGTCACGGTCCTGTCCTTCCCCCAGACCACCTACCACACCATGCCCTAAATGTAAAAAATTGGGTCATTGGGGCTCTGACTGCCCAACCGCCCGAAGGGGAGATTGGTCTGACAGGCCCCAGCCACCCCAGGCATCTCAAACATCCTTGGTGGGACTGGCTGAGGAAGATTGACGGAACCCTGGGTTCTTCCTGACCATGACCATCACAAAAAGCAAGCCCAGGGTAACCATTATTGTAGATGGCCAACCCGTTTCCTTCCTCCTGGACACAGGAGTCACCTTTTCGGTCTTGAGGGAGTTTCGGGGTCCAACCACACCTAGCCCTTCTCCTGTAGTTGGGGTAGGAGGAAAACATATATACCCTCATAAAATGCCTCCATTAACTTTTCATATCGAAGGCACTCCTTCTCCTTTTTCTCACTCATTTTTAGTCATGCCTCAATGTCCCGTTCCCTTACTAGGTTGAGACATTCTTGCTCAGCTACACGTTTCCATCTCCATATCTCCCGCATCCCCTACAACCCCTTTCCTACTAGCTCTTATTATGGAGGATGCTCAAAACACACACCCTTCTCTGCTTCATCCTGTAAACCCCGTTATATGGGATACCACTAACCCCTCTCCTGCCCATTGTAGTCCCATAACAATAAAACTAAAAGATCCTTCTAAATATATAAACCAACCNATAACCAACTCCGCCCTGGTAGACAAACTTCTTAAAGCCTCACAGTTGCCTAAACAACTGGAAGTCATTCATTGCAAGGCCCATCAAAAAGATGATTCCCCTATAACCCAAGGGAACTGCAAAGCAGATAGTGTAGCCTGGGCTGCAGCCACTGCAGGGCCCCTGGAATGCTTCGCCCTCCGCCCACCTGATACACCTGAAAACACAGATGATCCCGCTCAACCAGACAGACCCACTCTCTTCTGCCTCCTCCATGACCTGTTTCATTCCATTTCCCAAAGTTTATCACACTTCCTCCAGACTTTCTTTTCTCTAACCCCTACAGACAAAACCCTTTTAAAGGACATCTCTCGTAATTGTTCTGTTTGTCAATGCACAAATCCCAACACTCCCTTAAAGGCTAAACCCTACCCCCCACACCGGTAATATCCCTGCCGCAGACTGGCAGATCGACTTTACACATATGCCTCCAGTCCGGCGCCAACACTACCTCCTGGTATTTGTTGACACCTTTTCCGGGTGGGTGGAAGCCTATCCCACCACAAACAAAAGGGCTTCTACTGTCGCCTCCTTGCTTCTTTCTCAAATTATCCCAAGATTTGGAATGCCCTCTTCAATACAGTCAGACAATGGGCCAGAGTTCACTGCTTGGATCATACAAAGTTTGTCTCAAACACTTTCGCTTCCTTGGCATCTACACTGCCCTTACCGACCCCAGGCCTCAGGGAAGGTAGAACGGACTAACAGGACACTAAAGGACACTCTTACTAAACTTTCTCTGGAACTCCACTTCGATTGGGTTCGCCTCTTACCCTTAGCCCTATTCAGACTCAGAGATCTTCCAAGAAAGCCCACAAACCTTTCCGCTTTTGAAGTTATGTATGGTAGACCTCCACTACCGCCGGGAATTACCCCCAGCCAGGGGTCCATACCCTCCAATTTAGCCATACCCCTACTTTCCC